CAGATATGGGACTAGGAATGTACAGTTGCACAAATATTTTGACACGAAAGCATGACAAGTTTGTCGAGAGGACGGGTTTGCAGTTTTAGTTATAGGAAGTGAGATAAAATAGCAAGGAAATGTAACGAGGAATATTATGTTAACCCAAATAGTGTTATTATATACCAAGTATCAAAGTTCATGATTTCTTGAATTTTGTTGGACGAGAACGTATGAGCGTCTCCTGGCAACAGCTCTGAGCGGTGGACATTACTGTTATTCACCGGTGAATAACAAAATCGTTGAGTTATAAAGCAAAACCGGTTTACAGTTCTTTGACACTTAACTTTACAGTAGTTACAATAAAATACTTAATGGGACTTTCGGGTGCCAATGTTTTTGGCAGTCTCGGGTCAACAAAACGTACAGTTTCCCTCTGTCCCAGTCAATAAGTTTATTTCTAGGTGAACATGCAGGACATTTCAATGTTTTTAAGAGTGTGCCTTTTCGAGTTTTCTAGCATTTGCCACAAAACTCGAAAACACATTTTTTTGCTTGAATGTAAGTGATAATACTTTACACGTATACTTATGTCCACACAGGACTTACCCTTCTCCATGTCATCCTAAGAGAAGATGGAACAACAATAAGTAACGGCCATTTTGTTCTGTAATAAGACGCTACAGCAATTGCTTGAATTGTCTTTCCCAATCCCATGTCATCGGCAAGAAGTACTCGGCCATTTTGTTTGATGCTGAAGCTGAAATGTAAGATTCATGATCAGAATGATTGCGGCAACAAACTGACACCTAAGATACAGCAAGCTAACTCGTCTAACTGAGGCCCCAGTCACACGATACCGGATTCGCATCGCAGCGACATATAATTTTACAGTTTCAAGGAAACATTAGCACTCAAAATTATGATAATATAACAGAATCAGTCAAAAACTTCAAATATGAAAAGTTGCAAGAGGCCGAAAAGCGTCTTTGTTAATGTCGCTCGACTCGCTCCGATGCGTGTCCGGTATCGTGTGACTGGGGCCTAAGCATGCGTAGATTGTACATGCTGAAGTTTTTGATTTGAGAAAATGGTCAAAAGTTGAGATAAAAAAGACTGTTACCCAGTAATAACCCAAAAACAATGTTAGGGAAAGGACTGAACTTGATCCAATCATCTGTTATGAAACCAACTGGATGCACGCGCGCGCGAGGATTGCTGTGTGCAAAAATGAAACACATACTTAGTTGTGTCATACACAGGGGAAAAATTGAAGATCCATATACAAGGTCATAGAGCGGAAATTGTACGGATAATTGTATATTTCCATAGTATGGATATAGTATGGTAATAGTATACATATACTATGGATTTAGTGGTGTAATTGCAAATTTCGTACCATGGATTTCACATTTTTTCCCCAGTGATATATACTGTTTGCATAAAGTAACTCCATGTACTTACACGACACCTTCTCTTTGAAAAGGCATCAGAGAATCCACAAGTTTCTTATCAATAAGATCCCAATTTATTTCTGAATCTGCAGGACTTTCTCTCTTTTTTGACAAAAACAATCGAGCAACTTCTTTCGGAAATCCAGACAATATCACCTCGTCTACCAATGGTTTACATAATGACACTGGAAGCATAAAATTAATAAAAGCATAAAAGTCTCATATTAAATTGTTATGTTAGACCGTTTAATATTAAACAAGATGCTGGGTAGGCGTTTACTTGGGCGACTCACATGCCTCAAAGCATCATTGGAGACAAAACGCAACACCAGAGAAAAAAAAACAAAGCGAATTTATGACTTGGTCGACATAGGTCGCCCAACTAAACAGTATGTTATATAAAGGACGTTTCGGTGCAGTTAATGTAAGTTTTTTTCTAGGGCCCTGGGCTCCATCTATATATAAGTCTGTAATATATAACTGTAGAGGGTGTATAAAAAAAGGTTAATCCGGTCCAACTTTGAAATGTTACCGTGCGTGAATTATTGTATTTATAGGTTTACTCTTTTCGTACTTAAAAAGATCAGGCTTTCAGCTGTCAATTAAATGACACCCTTATTGAATCATTGCGACCAAAATGACCAAATGCTATACGGTCGTTTGAAATCTCAGTTTTCCACCTTTAGGACTTGAATGCGACTTACAAAATTCGAACATTTGCCCAAAATGCTTGTTGCCATTTGGGAAACGTATATGGTATTGCGAGTTCAGTCTGCAAACTTCCAGTTTTGTAAAACGAGTGCAGGCCTTAAAATATCGGTCGGTCACGGACATTGTCCGACCCATTTGTCAAATTGTCCGACGTAGAGAGGAAACCACCGGACATTCTGTCCGACCTGAGTGAAACTGAGGTTTATTCTTTGTCCGACCCGATTGTATTGTTGTCCGACCGAACTGTAGCTTTGTCCAACGCTTTCTCCACGCACGTAAATCAAAATGTACCCGAGTCCAGGACTAGAGGCTCGCATGTTATAAAAATGACCCGGAAATGTTTTTAATGTCATCGAGCGCGGGGCGGTGAGCGAAATAGAAAACGGGCTTAAGTTGTCAAAGTCGTACTGCAGCTACTGCTATTATTGGCAAGCAAATTAATCTTGGCTTGGAAATAAGTATGAATGACAAAAATCATTTAATATCTTCACAACATTTAGTTCAGAATTAATACATTGTGCTGATATTAATTATCAATTTGTATCATTCAGACTCATTTCCGATACTCATTTCCACATACATATATCCGACCCAAACTCAAAGTCATCGGACATTTTGTCAGACGGCCTTGTAAAAGATATTTTAAGGCCTGCGAGTGGAAATTTACCAAAACTTGATGCTTTAAAGCCGGTTTTCCACTAGGCGAAATTTTGCGCGCGGAGCGGAATCTTTCTTTGTCTTTTCTAATTAGTTCCACCCGAGAAATCACAAGACAAAGAAAAATTCCGCTCCGCGCGCAAAATTCCGCCTAGTGGAGAACGGCCTTTACACATGCGTTGCGCCATCTTGATTGATTCAAGCGACTTGAATTTGAATCCCAAATGAGAAAAATTTCAATACTCAGACAATAAGTGAATAGCTTTACACGCAATTCCCATCGGTATAAAATACATTTTCGAGCGGCGTTTTTAAATCAGATCCTATCTGGCTATTTTTGATCGCATGCACTGACACAAGAAACTCTGTCCCTGACGAATAAAATCATTCCACAGCTAAAAGCCTAATCTTTAATGGTTTGAGAAAAGTAAATGCATGGATAAACGTAAAATATATAATGCACAATAACATGCCAAGGTAATTGGATTACCTTTTTTATACACCCTGTATATCAGGAACCTGGCCAGGATTGGCAATCTATACCCGTCCAAGAGTGTTAGGCAAGTTCTGCCTCCCTCCCAGAGACGTCATGTTTTCCTTAGAATAAATTTGAAATCAAATTTTTATTCCCTAAGGACGTGATTCTTAGCAGTCAAAAGAATAATGGTAAAACTGTGGTTAAAACTGAAGATCAGCTTAAAATACAATCTCGTTCCCCGAGCCTGCGATCCTCGGGGAATGGAAGGGAGGCTCTGGAATAATCCGTTGCCGGAAGCCAGGAATCCTGGCTAAGATTGAACTACGCATCCATTTCAACGGCCAATCAGATTCCTCCCTGAAACGGATTGTCCCAGAACCTCGCGTTCCTCCTTCCCGAGGATCACAGGTTCGGGGAACGAGATTGCTTAAAATACTAAATATTTTGCAAATACATAGGGAATTGTAAATTTATTATTTGTGGATGTACGTGTATAGGGATGCGCAGTGACTGTTGAATGTCATCACATGTTATAGCAAAATTTAAGCTTATGCGCGGTCGTACTAATTACTAAAGATAAAATACTGAAATTTTAATTTTGCCCGTCCACATTTAAAAATGCACGTCCAAATGACGGGTGGATGGGCCTCTGGCTAAGCCCATGTTGTATAAAAAAGAGGTATAGTAGCTACATGTTACTTACTTAGCTTTTCATAATCTTCTAAAAGAAAATTCCACGTGCGTGTCTGAGCATCTACAGAATAATATTCATAATAGCGTTAGTGGAGTTCCTTTTATATCTCTGAGAATACTAGACGTTAGACAGTTTTTTATTTAAACAGTACAACTCAATCATGTTTCGCTCGCTATACTCTGGTTTTAAATAAATTATTACAAGGCCCAGTCGAATTGTAATCAGGACCCACCGTTTCGATCGACACCCCAGTCTAGTGTCTTCATCAGGGGTGATCTAAAATTGCAATCGTGGCTTCTTAAATACCCAAGGGATGACGTCACCTACCAACGAGATGCATACATTCCTCTGGCAAATAGGCACCGTCATCCCTATTCAAAGCTGTCGAAGGGAAGTTAGAGACTGATGTTTATCGCAAACCCACACACACCTGTAGACAAATATTTGTCATACGACTCTCATCACCCAGTAAGCCATAAAAGATCTGTAGCAAAAACTTTGCTTCAAAGAGCTGAATCCTTGCCGTGAAACAGTGATTCTCAAGCTAATGAACGTGAATATGCCCTAAATGTTTTAGGGGGAAACGATTACCCAAAACGTTTTCTGAATGATTGCCTGAGATCACCTGTTTGTAGGAACAAAAATAACTCCGAGGGTGATACCTCTGTTAAGGGTTATGCCATACATTCAAGGTGTCACAGAACCAATCAAGAGAATCTTAAGTAATTGTAATATTGTATGTTACACCAAACACGAGATTGCGTGGGAAAACTCTAAAGTAATTACCACAAACAATCGCTATGGTCAAAGACTTTGCCTAGAAGCGTGGCATGTATATGAGTAATCATGCTTTGAATACGGATGGCGGTGCCTATTTGCCAGAGGAATATATGCATCTAATTGGCAGGTGACGTCATCCCTTGGGTATTTAAGAAGCCACGATTGCAATTTTAGATCACCCCTGATGAAGACACTAGTCTGGAGTGTTGAAACGTTGGGTCCTGATTACAATTCGACTGGGCTTTGTAATCATTTATTTAAACCAGAGTAGCGAGCGAATACATGATTGATATGCCTGGTGGCAGTAAACGAACAAACTTTAAAAGTACAACTCAAGTTTGGTACAGTACGTATAGGTTGCATGAGGTTCACAGTCAGTTTTAGGCAAAATTTGTGAGGTGTAAATCGGTTTTAAGTCAGAATGATTTGTATGTTTACTAACACGACAAACTTACCATAACATTTACTTGGTATCGATTTTAAAACTCCAATAAGCTTGGCATGGAATCCAACCACAACTTTAAATCTTGTCTTGCTCATCAAAATGCATGTCCCACTGATAACTCGTGCTTTCATTACAGTATTGTTCACACTCTTAGTTTTACTAGGACTCTTACTGAATGCACTTGAACTCTGTATGGCCATGGGAGGCACACTGCTCTTTGCCTTGTAAGGGGAAGCTTTACTCGTACCACGATGGTATTCGAATCTTGAGAGACTCTGCGTTTTTGGGGCATTTTTCTGTGATGTTCCATTACTGAATGTCTGCGGCTTTTTATAAAAAGCATTTGAGTTTACTATGGAATTACTTGATTGTTTTGAAGCAGATGTATTATTTTGATATTGAGGTCGTGCTGCTACAGACTTTTTCTTAGCTAATTTCGCCAAAGCTTTAGCCCGGTTTTCTTCAATTCGCTTTCTTTGTTCATCCGTCAACGAAGACATTCCTAAAATATAAAACGTCTGAGTGAGTGTAAAGGTCATGTTAGGGCCTATTCATATGAGCCCAGTTAACTAAAGGAAATTCACATAGTAAATGAGATCTGTACGCCCTTTGGTAACGCATGTATACAGCACGTACAGTACAATTCAATTTGTATTGATAGGAGAAACGAGCCAGTCACGTGAGATCTCACCATACGATTACGATCTCAGTCATGCAAGTGGGATAAAATTTTCCATAATCCATACGTGGTCTTAAGGTAGTTATTAATGCCCAGCAGAAAATACGTAAAAGAGCCATAACAAAAATATAGTTTAAAAAATTTTATTAGAAAGCTAACGTTTCGTCTTTAACTCAAGACATCTTCAGAGCAATGACATACAAAGCGGAAAACACAGAAATATGAATAAATTACAACTATTTACAAGATATTATATTACAAAAGTAGAAAGAGGAGTGGATCAGAGTAGAAGTAGAGGGACAGAACTGTCTTGTAAGTTGAGAGAGGGTTTGAGTTTGTTAATGAAAAGACTTTCTCGAATGAGGAGTTCGTCTGGGAAAGAGCAACAAGAAATAATCTTAAAGTCATTAAGAGAAGCGGAGTGACCAGTGCTATCAAGATGGGAAAGGATACTAGACATGGTCGGATTGCTGCTTTTACTGCCTGTTAGAGGAGAAACACCCAAGTGTTCAGATACTCTTGTCTGCAAGTGACGGACCGTTTGGCCCAAATATGTATAAGTGGTGTATACTCCTAACATCTAACTCCTATGAGTTGTTATGTATATGGGGTATGCGGTATACAGATTCATCCACGGTAAAATTAATGCACGGTTAACCCAGGCACGGATTTTCTGGGGGGGGGTGCGCACCCCCCCAGAAATGATTTGCACCCACCCACCCCCAAAGGCATGTGGCACCCCCGCAAATTACATATATTTTGATTTGATAGTTTCATATTTGATTATTCTTACTACTAAATTTGTAAAATTACCAATATTATGGTCTCAGATCTCGCCATGCAGG